AGGTCGTCGATGCGAGGCAACGGATAACGATTCTTCACTGTGGCTTTGTTCAACTGCCTGTAGTCGATGCAAAGTCTCATGGATCCATCCTTCTTTCGAACAAATAACACCGGTGCTCCCCATGGGGAAACGCTAGGTCGGATGAATCCCTTTTCCAGTAGCTCTTGCAACTGAGCCTTCAACTCCTTCATCTCGGCAGGTGCTATACGATACGGTGTAGCAGATATGGGTTCCGTACCCGGAATGAGATTGATCGAGAACTCTACCTCTCTCGGCGGAGGCAAACCAGGAAGGTCTTCGGGAAAGACATCGGGGAAGTCGCAAACCGTACGGATGTCTTGCTGACGTGGTGATTCTTTTCGCATATCCTGAACGTGACACAAGAACATCTCGCACTTCTTGCGAATCAAGCGCCTCGCGCTCAAGGACGATATGAACTCGGGAGCCTTGGGGATCACCTCCCCGGAGAGTGATACGTCGCTACCATCCTCGGCTCTCAGGCGTACGGTCCGACAACTGCAGTCGACCACTGCTCTATGCTCGGTGAGCCAATCCATACCAAGGATAATGTCAAACTCCTTGTGTGGTAGCTCTATCAAATCTGCAAGGAATTGCTTCCCTGCACGGACAACGGACACCTATGATAAATGTGATGAAGACGCATGCTATGTCCTAGCGGATTCGATACAACAGTAGGTATCTCAAGGTCACTCCTCACGATCGCAGAATTAGCAGGCATGCCAACACAGATATATGAGAGCGTAGAACCCGGATCGATTAAGGCATGCATAACCGAATCAAATAGTATGAACGTACCCAAGATAACATCGGGACTAGGATCTGTGCGCCCCTGCATGGCGTAGGTACGCGCTGGTGCACGGCCTGACTGCTGCGGACGTGGTCTCTGCTGATTATTTGCGGCTGTAGACTGCTGACTCCGTGCTGGATGCGATGCGGCAGGCTGATCCGGAGCTCTAGGAAAAACAGGCTCGCTGCTAGGGTTTGTCGGGCAATGCCTCCTGAAATGCCCTGGCTGACCACAACCCAAACATAAGCCTTGGGCGAGCCAACACTCGCCTGGGTGATGCCTACCACACTGTACACACTGCGGGTGGCTCCTCGTTCTGATCGAGTTGCTAGCGGCGGCCGACAGAGACGGCTTCGACTTACTCCTCTTAGGCGGCGGCGCACTCAAAGAACCCTTCTCGTACCTCCTTCCCCCGAATCCAAAACTCTTCCCGCTCAGCCCGGTGCTGGCCGCGGGTCGCGGGTCTTTCGTCGCTCGATCCTCCTTCTTAGTTGCCTGCAAATCGTCCAAGCTCTTTTCCGTCTTCACAATCAAATCATACACCGCATTAAAATCTGTCGTCGTGATCAGCGCGGCGTACGGCCTCAAGTCCGGCCGTAGCTTCTTGACGAACTCATTCAAACGATCCTCCGGAGTGGAGACCAGACTCGTCGCATACTGGGACAGGTAGTCGAACTTCTGTCTCAGTTCAGGCAGTGACATCCCCTCCTGCTTAAGCGCAACGAATTCATCGCGCCTCTCCTCGCGGTACCGGGTGGGGACGTACTCCTTCATGAAGGCATGATCAAAGCGATCCCAGGTCCATGGCTTGGGCGTGTGTGGATCCTGGTCAATGCGCTTCCACCAATCATATGCTCCCTTCCGGAACATCTGTGACGCCAACTCCGAGCGATCTGCATCAAGGACTCTCAAATTCTTGAGTACCCGGTCCATCTGCTCAAGCCAATCCAACGCAATCTGGGGCTCCCCCATCTTGTCTCCTCGAAACTCTTCCGCTCCATTATCCTTCAATATCTTGAAGGTAACAATGCGCGGCTGAGGCTGTGGTGGTGGCGGTGGCTGGAACATGGGCATAAGCTGCGCCATGTGCTGCATATAATGGGCCATCATGGCCGGGAACATCTGCTCGTAGGCCACCTGCGGCATCACCAACGGTGGCATCACTGGAGGTGGTACGACTGGCGGTGGTACAGCTGGTGGTTGTCCCGCTGGCTCAGGTTGATTCTGCTGTTGCCTTCCGTCACCCGGAGGCGTGAAACTCGAACCCTCGGTGTTCACCGTGTGCACGCTCACGTGCTCCGGCTCCGGAACGTACTGACCATGGGTCGATTCTTGACTCATTCTAAAACAATAAGGAAATTCCCAAGTCAGATCTTAACATATAACAGATAGAGCTATAAATACTTATTACCTTCCCGGGGCAGAGGAGTTACGTGAGATGCAGATGTGGCTGAATTATTCATTGTATTTTATTTTGAAAGGGTCCAAAGACCGATTTTAAAACCAATTGCTCCGATACCAAAATGTAACACCCCAACCCGCATAACCCAAACCCGTGAGACAGCGGACCGGTGTGCCACTGGATTGGTATCCGAATATACAACATTTTCAAAACAATTTAAAACAAACATTCTATCAATACATATAAAAATCCATCAGAGTAATTTAAAATAATGCGGAAGCCTTTTTAAAGTCAAACAACTTGGGATCTTGCCCGAAAACGTAATAAGCATTAAAGTTAATTAAATAAAGCATAACTACAGATTAGAGAGACAGCCATGCCATCGTACATCTCCTCCTCAATGCCCTATGGGATCGGCTCTAGGTTCATCTGTCTGATCACCTACGGACAGCAAAAAGGAAAACAACGCTATCCGCTCAGCATTGACGCTGAGTGGCACTCCATTGTAGCACAAGAATAAACATAATAATTCAATGATTAAGTTCGCGCATATGTTTATCCTTTTAATAAAAATCAATTCAACTTTACATTCGGTTCTTTAGACGGTTGACCAACAGTCAATTTATTTTCTTTCTTTTCAAAACGATTTAGGTGTTAAGGATTCCTCATTAACTCTTTGACCACCGGTCAAACCAATTTAGACTTTCACGAAAGTCAAACCACTTAACATTTAATGCCTATGACGGAGATAGCCTCAATCCGTAATGCCGAAGATAGCCTCAATTCGGTGGAGGTAGGATCCCTCGGGCGATAGCCTCAAACCCAAGATCACAGACCCTCGTGCGCACGTCTTAACCTCACTGACCAGGCCCTGCAGCCGCCCGAGCAATGGCCAGTTTCTATGTTCGACATAATAAACCAATTGATCCTAATTACTGATTAGAATTAATTAATTAACATAATTAATTCAATAAAGTCTTGGATTTAACCATTAGGTCAAACCTACGTCAACAGAATATCCAGTCAAAGCCTAAGTCAAACGTGACCTAACCCGAGTCAAAGTCAAACCTGTTCAGTCAACTCACAATCCTCAACAATTCAATTCAAACAATCAATTTAATTCAATTAACCAAATCTAGCCAAATTATAGCATAAACATATATAACGATCCGAACCATTAAATCTATTCTAAACGCTATTAACTTCATAGTACGGACCTGGATTACGCCGAAATCGAATCGATAGCTCGAACGGAAGACAAATCAACGAAATCAAACGAACGGGTCAAATTGAGTCAAAATACGAAATCGACCAATCGATCTTGCGTGCAGATTAATCTGCCGGCGGTATCAACCCGGGGCAGCGGCTGGGTGCGGCGACGGCGGCGGACGCCGGCGTACAGTGGCGGAGCGGCAGCTGTTGGCGGTCTACCTTGTTCAAAATCGAGGGGATAGAGACAAACCGAAATAGGAAACTGAAGAAGAAGAAGGGACTGACCTGAGCTAAGGGCGACGGCGGCTGGAGGCTTGGCGGCGGTGCAACTCGACGGCGATGGGCAGCGACTGGCGGCGTTGCAACCTGACGGCGGTGGACGACCGACGCTGGCAGTGCAGGCGACGACCGCAGCTCGAAGATTGGGAACCGTGGTCGGCGGCGCTGGACCTGGCGGTGAGCGGCGGACCTCTAGCGAGGAAGAAGCGGCGGCGATTGGCTGGGGAAGGGCGACCGGCGATGAGCGGCGACTGGCTCAGGCGACGCCGGCGTGGTCGAACGGCAGGGGAGGATGACCGAAATGAAGAAGAAGAAGAAGAATAATAATAGGAAGAAGAAGAACAAGAAGAAGAAGAAGAAGATAACGATCGTGCGGCTCATAATAGGTTTAGGTTTTATTTATTAATTCCAATACTAGTGGTTTGGGCTCCGGGCCCAAAATACCTGATTAAATGGTCATAACATGAGCTCCATAACTCCGATTCGCGAGTCGTCTGAACCGACGCGATCACAAAAATATTTCTTACGAAATGACATAAAAGTTGGGCTTAGAATCCAGATTATAGTTTTAACTCCCTTTTGGGCCCAATTCGTAATCAATTGCTCTAACAATTTAATTAATTCTTTTGGGCCAGATTTCGGGGCGTTACAAATACGACAGCACCACTGCGTTCTCCTCACTCCCAGCAACAGAATAGACAGAAAGTTTGTAAGAAATGGTGAGGAATTGAAGGAATGGAGATGGTACTTATATAGGAAAATGGTGAAGGATGCTGCCAAGGGTGATGTCTAGTTTCCTGTTCGGGCGGCTAGTGGAGCGGGCTGCGATATTTCTCCGATTCCAAACGCAAGTCCCTGATTGGGACTAATTTGGTCCCAGTCGGGAACACTTTTTGGTCCAACTTTCTCCGAATTGAAATCCGATTGCACCGTTGCGATCAGACAGTTAAACTCTATCTAACGATATAATTTTTATATTTATTCGTTATACTTTTTCCGACGTCATATTTTTGGGTGGTTGACTTTGACAGAGTCAAAATTGGTTTAATTGACCTTTATTCAAAAAGGTTCTCACATTTAATTCATATTATTTATTTCCATGATTTATTTCAATAAATCATTTCAAAGTTCACATTATAAACAATTTCTTCATTTATTTTTAATTTGGGTATGTACTCAGGTTCCCAATCAAAATCACACAATAAATCAACATGTTGGATTTATCTCTATGAGATTTATCCCAATTATGTTTATTGGATATCAATATATATTTTATTTCAGCCCAAAGCCCAACAACAATTTATTTTAATCAAAACAAATTTTGTTTAATTGAATATTTAATTCAATAAATTTTAGGGTATATTTTGGGGCGTTACAAAGTATCAAATAGAATGGATCATTTCAAGTATTTCAAATATTTTATTATGTGCGGCCCTTTAATGTATGTACTCTTTATTTGTGCATGACAAAATATTGTCATGGAACATAATTATCATAATAACATAGTTTTTTTTCATGCAGTAGGCGGAATAATTTTTCGGCTATTGATATAACTTTAGTTGAGGATTTGAAATATATGATAGATGAACATAATGTTTTGGAACAGAGTTTCAGAAGAGCTAGAGATTTCGTGCATAGTGAGCCCACATCTCCTTTGTCAATGAGGCTTTTGAGAAGTAGATCTAGAGACTCGAGAATTTATAATATGCCCACAGCGGACGAAGTTGCAGCTCTAATAGTGGGAGATTTTGATTCATCTAATAAAGAAAGGGACATCATCATCGCAAAAAGAAATGGATTCTTGCAACAAATCCATGAGACACACTATGCGTTCATACCTCTTCAGTACCCTTTCTCTTTTCCCTTTGGGGAAGACAGATATCATGAAAATATTCGTATAAGAGAATCATTTTTCCTGCAAAACAATGTAAAGCGTCCAAATGTATCAGCGAGAGAATTTGTTGCATATCGTATACAAGAAAGGGAAAATGATGGTGGCATTTTGTTGCTTGCACCGAGATTGTACTTACAATTTTTGGTAGATGCTTACACGATCGTTGAGGCACAGAGAATCCAGTGGGTAAAGTTAAACCAAGATCAATTAAGGGGAGCAATTATGAGTGGCATTAAAGAAGCTGTGATTAGATGTGATACCCAATCGGCATCTGTTGGCCAACGAATTATTCTACCATCTTCATTCACTATGGGAATGAGATATATGTTTAACAACTGTCAAGATGGTATGGCTATTTGTAGAAGACTTGGTTATCCAGATTTGTTTATTACTATGACATGTAATCCCCAGAGGCCAGAGATTGCAAGATATGTGACAGTAAGAAAATGTAGAGCTGAAGACAGACCCGATATTGAATCTAGAATTTTTAAATTGAAATTGGATCATTTGGAAAAGGACCTAAAAAAAGGCCGAATATTTGGTGAAGTGATTGCAGGTAATGCTATAGTTTGGTATCTTATTTCCATTTAAATAGTAAAGACTACTGTACTTTAGACATTATTATTTTGTGTATCGTCATTTGATAGAAATAATTGTGTGCAGGTTTGTACATTGTTGAGTTTCAAAAGCGAGGTCTACCTCATGCACATATCTTAATTTGGTTACACGAGAGAGATAAACTTCAATCACTAGAGTCAATTGACCGTGTGATATGTGCAAAGTTGCCTGATAAAGAAAAATACCCAAGGTTGTATGAATCTGTTACTTGCTTGATGATGCATGGTCCCTGTGGAGTAAATGATCCTAGATCTCCATGTATGGATGATGGAAAATGCAAAAAATATTTCCCGAAAAAATTTGTTGACAAGACATTGTTTGATGAGAATGGGTATTCGGTATATAGAAGAAGAAACATGGGGATCACCACAACAAGAAAGGATGTCGAGTTGGATAATCGATTTGTTGTGCCATACAATCCACTGCTCTTGATGAGGTATCAAGCTCATATCAACATTGAATATTGCAACAAATCTAATTCAATCAAATATCTCTTTAAATATGTCAATAAGAGTCCGGATAGAGTAACTGTTGCAGTTACCCAATCTAAATCTGACGCTGATAATTTTTATTCATAAGTTTTTATTCATAAGTTTTTAGAATTAAATAAGTTCCATTATTTCTAATTATTTTTTCAGAGCTTATAATTTCTCAAGAAGACCTAAAGAATTTATGTCTGATTGAGATTGAAAAGTTGATTAATTCAAATGGACGGTCTTTGAGGGAATTCAGTTGTATGCCATTTCCAGATGACAGCCCACTCAATACATTTCAAAACAATTTGTTGATTGAGGAGTTGAACTATGATAAAGAAAAATTGTCATCTGTTCTTACGGAATACTTATCTACGATGAATGAAGATCAGCGGAAGATATAGGATGAAATAATGGAAGTTGTGACAACTGGAAAAGGAGGATTCTTTTTTGTGTATGGTTGTGGTGGAACTGGAAAAACATTTCTTTGCAGGATTGCTTTTGCCTGGGGGTAGGACAGCACACTCCAAATTTTCAATTCCTTTGGCGCTAACAGAGTGCTCAACGTGTGCCATCAAACATGGTAGCCCAAAACAGAACTAATTTAACACGCAGGTTTAATCATATGGGATGAAGCATGTATGATGAATAGATTTGCTTTTGAGGCATTGGATCGCACGATGAGAGATCTAATGAAGTTCTCTAATCCAAACTCAATAAATGAACCATTTGGAGGGAAAACAGTTGTACTCGGAGGTGATTTCAGACAAATTCTTCCTATTTTACCCAGAGCTTCGAGAGAGGAAATTGTAGGTGCTACCATTAATTCTTCAAATTTGTGGTCTTATTGTAAAGTTTTTAAATTGACGAAGAATATGAGATTGCATTCATCAACTTTCTCTTGCGTAAATAGAGACACACAAGATTTTTCTGATTGGATAATCAAAGTTGGAGATGGAAAGCTTGGACAAGTGATTGATGGAACTGCTGACGTTGAAATTCCTCTCGAATTTTTTATTCTAGATAACAGTTCTCCCCTCTAAAGTATAGTGGACTTTACTTATCCGAACTTATTGGAGAATATGAGAAGTTATTCTTTTTTTGAAGACAGGGCACTACTAGCACCCACGCTCGAAATTATAGAGATGGTAAATGAATTTGTCTTATCCCTCATTCCCGGAGATGAAATGGTGTATTTGAGTTCTGATTCGTCGTGTCGAGCAGATTCAGATGTAGGTATTGAAGGCGACTGGATAACAGTTGAGTTTTTGAATGATATCAAGTGTTCTGGAATCCCAAACCACAGGATAGTTTTAAAAAAAGGGGTACCAATTATGTTACTGAGAAACATTGACCAAACATCTGGATTGTGTAATGGTACACGATTAATTGTTGACGAGATGTGAAAGAATGTTATTGGTGCTATTGTGGTTTCGGGAAATCGTGTGGTCAGCTTTATGTTGCTGTTTTGCGAGTGAAGACAAAGACATGGTTAAAATTATTAGTCTTAGATGACAATGGAAATCCTTGCAGCCATACCAAAAATGTTGTATACCCTGAAGTCTTTCAAAAAATTTGGTATTAAAACAAATTTTGTTGTGTGTAGATTCAATTCTTCAAATATTATTCTTTTTACTTTTGCCTTTCCTTTTTGTGTTCTTATAAATCATGCATGAAGTATATTTCCTTTATTTCGGAAAACAAAATTACATTAAATAAATTCAGAATTGAAAAGATATTCATTCGACCCCGTGCATCGCACGGGTAGGAATACTAGTACTATACTAGTCCTTTATATATAAAAGAGATTTCACTACTTGTAGTGGAGACATGTGGCATATTACATGGCAAAAATCTTTATCCACATGGCATAGTGTCATCATTTATTGGTCCAAATAGCATTTATTAGTTTATTTTTTATTTTAAAAAATATTCATGATTATTGCATTTAATTACCATAATTTTTTATACATAAAACATTTCATATTTTAATTATTATATTAAAATGTCCTTTATCAATATAAAATATATTTTAATATCTTAAAATTCATTAATTACTTTTTTAAAAGTTATATAAAATTTATTAAATTTTTTAATAGACAACTCTTTGTATAAATTTTTACACCCTTTCCCTTTATTGCATTTTAAAAATATAGATTTATGTAAAATATAGTATATTTGTGTCATTATTAAAATTATAATTTATTTTAAAAGAATTGCATAAGCATTAGTTTAAATATTTCATTTGTTATATATTCATTCATTGTATTTACTATTAAAAATATCATATTTAGTAGTTAAAACATATATATGTATATGCAGATACCAAAGTTAAAATATCTATTATTATATTCAATGGCTAATGCTTTTACATAAACGATTTCATTTTTTTTAGCATTAAACGAAAAAACATTCATTTAACAAGTTTAAAATTCAAAATAAATTCAAACTATTCACCATTTTTTATTTTTATTATCTTTCAAAAACAATAATTATATAAATTTTTAGAGCAGGGAAATCATTTTTAAAATACAAATTTTATTTCAAAAAATATTGTATCTAATAGTCTTGCTATTACAATGATATCATATCCTAATTTAAAAAATAATTATAATTCATATCATATTATTATTAAAAAATTAAAAAAAATAAATTTTAATTCATATTATTTTTTAACAAATTATTAAAGTTTTAACAAACATACAAAATGCTAACATAACAAATCTATGTTTACATATAGATATAATTTATAGAAAAATATGCGAGCGCGTGCAAAGCACGGGGTAAAGACTTGTTCTTTCTGTAAACGAAAAGGGTCTTGTCTTTAATAGAAAAGATGACCCACTTTTATTGAGATATGCCCGCATGGGTAGCTCAGTTGGTCAAGAGCATGAAATCTTGGACCGATGACCAGGGATCGAGTCCCGCAAGCGGCAGTGTGGGAGCTATCCAAAAATCCCATAAAGGGTGAGGAGGCTCCTTGTGCGCGGTGGGCACAGGTCTAGCGTTCTTGGCCGACAGAGTCACCATGATTTACATCCTCCACCATTCCTATCGGGCAAGGGGGTGGGGGCGCCTGGGGTGGGCGATTCCACCTTTCATGGACCGATGAAACTGAAATAATGTTTCTTCTATTCGCACGAACGTACAAGCAATCGTTTAATAACAACATAAGACCACTAGACAAGACTAAAGTATAAGTTCCGATTGCCAACGCTGCAACAGTTGCTAGGGATGTTCATCAGGTCAAACTTGGACCGGACTGGGACCAGACCGGAATGATTAAGCTAAGGTCCGAGGACCGTAATGATTAAGTTAAGAACCGGCCCAGGACTGGACCGGACTTGTAAAACCTGGACCAGACCGGGACCAGACCGAATAAATGTTATTTTTATTTTATTTTTTAAATTTAATTTATTTATTTAATTTAAAGTATTCAATTGAATAAAAATATTACTACAACTAATTTTTAATTGTAACATACAATAAACATTGTCACACATAGTTGTTTTGAATTTTTTGATAAATTTTAATTGATATATATATATATATATATATATATATATATATATATATATATATATATATATATAGAGAGTTTGGTTCAAATAAGAATAAGATCTAATGAAAGAAATGAGAATGAATAATAATCGTCCGATCTTGATCTTGCTGGATACTCCTCCCAATTTCTCGTAAGGGCAATTCAAAAATTTCCCGCCCCCATCAATATTGCCTCGTCTGGCCTTCTTCACCCTAAAATCAGCCCACAATCTCCGTTCATTTTGTTTAGCTTTTTCCATATTCTGGCATGGGAGATTTAATGCTTGCACTGCGTGTTCATTCCACGAATATCCGAGCACCCATCATCACTCATATCGACGTTGTCAAAGAACATCTCCAATCGATTTTCCATATCAATAAGGTATGTTCGATCTCTACTTTCAATTGCTCTTGAATTGTTTTTTAGGAGCTCTTGAGTCTTGAATTATTTTGAAGTGTGAAAATGAACAATGTTTTCTTTGAAGAAGATGAAGTTCAGTTTGCACCTAAAGTGTTTGATAAAATACCTGAAAGAACACTTGATGCATCAAAGGAACCTACTATCAAGCCAAAATTATTTTTATATTTATTCTATAATTTTTTGTTATTTTAAAGCTGTTTTTGTAATTAATTATTGATGTTAGGGCAAACCCATATAGAAATAAAATATTCCATGGATTTTGCATAACCCATAGATAGATTATATGAAATATATCAAAATCTTTTAAAATTCAAGTAAAATACACCCCCCTTAATAGTGTTTCATGTCTTTGGGTTATATTAATAAAAAAACTCTTGTGAAGATGTAATATTTTAAAATATATTTGGGTTCGTGGTTTATGTGGGATTATTGAAGATGTAAAAACATGGCTGAAGATGCAATTGTGTTGTTTCATTACTTTCTATGGTGGAC